GGCTCACAGGCTTAATTACTACCATTCTTAGGTGTGGAAAGTGAAAGAAAGGAGACATCCCTCTGCTCTTACAAAGCTCTATTAAGGACTAAACTTAAAAAAGACACTAAAAAGACAAGGTGCATTAAAGTTGACTGTGAATAAATTTCCTGGTTTTTTGCTTGCTTGTTTTAAACAAATCCAACATGGATTTCCAGAACAAACTATCAGTTCCACTCAAGCTCAAAGGATGTTTACTCTCAACTTCAAAACACGAGTTTGGATCTTATTAGTGAAATACATAATGAGCTTTATATCTGACAACAAATAGTTTTAAGTAATGATCTGCAATGCTACTTTTGAAAGAAAAAATTATTTCTGGAAGTGTGCTATGGCTCCACACACCACTGCACTGGCAAAATACAGCACTGCAGGACTGCTAATGCAAGATGTGCCTGGCAGGCTTTTCATCATTTTTGTACTTAATTCACCTCCAACCACAACTTTAATCCGAGGTGAGCTGTTGGGCGAGAGGTCAGAACTGCACCAGGCTGGTAAGTCAGAACCACAGCCCCACCACAGTAATTTCCCACGCTTATTCCACCTTTTCAGTCAAAATGGCATTTTTGTCTTACCGCAATATTCTGAACCGAGTTTCAGGAAGTCAGTACCATGCGCAGCACGTGGCAATCTTGCACGTTCAAAAGGCTGTAAGAAAGTAGGGCAGGAGATGATTGCTGTGTCCTACAGATCATCTACAGGTCAGTACTGTACTTGCATTGAGTCAGGCACTAAGCAAAACCAACCTTCTGTTCTCACTGCCATGGTAAGCCTAGGAGAGAATCAGCTCCAGGGATGGGAATTCATCCTTCAAACAGTTTCCCAAAACAACATCTCTTTTTAGAAGGAAAAAAATTCTACTCATCTCTGGTAAAAAGTCACAGGCTGTAGCAAAACAGCCTGCATAAAGGAGAAGCTAAAGAAGGGAAAATTAGATGAGCGCTGGATGGGAAACCTAAGAGATTCCTTGATTCTGACACTTTTAGTAAAGACTAAAAACCTGGAAATCACACCTCTTTAAGCTCTAAGTTGAAGGCTGGCACATACTGAACACTTTGCAAGCCTGCCTCTAGACTGGCTGGGGAACACACAACCTGTTCTAAATTCAAGGCGAATCCAGGACACAGCATCACTTGGGATTACACCCTTAATTACTGCTTCTGATAGCTCTGCATTTTGGAATCAGCGAGGGAATAAGGAAGATCATCTTCCACTGGGCAGACAAGCAAGTGAGCTTTCTTTTTCACCAAGGAACTGCAGCTTCTTTACAGAAGAATGTTTTCAATTATTTGAACACTGGCATAGCACAGAGCACCAAGATTCCAGACCCTGCAGCTTTCTGAACTCAGCAAGCTCCTTCAGCTCCTGGCAGCATAGTATGAGCGAAGTCTAGACCCAAGAATACTAACTCCATAACTTCTGGATTTGTAAGAGAGCATTGTCCCTGAAGTGGCTGTGTTGCATGTAGGACACAACTGTGTAGTACCATTTCTAAATGCACAAGAAATTCCCAAGTGTCACTTCACAGACCACAAACCCCATCTGCAGCCAGCACTGAAAGGAATCGTGTGCCTTGTGGTCTGGACAAGCGGAGCCAGGAACACTGCTAACAACTTACTCTGGTAACAGGAGCAGAAGGGATCAGGGAACCATTTCAGCATCATTAGGTTCTTCAAGCTGCAAAGAGCAGAAAGGAGCAGGGAACCTGGGAGCATGGACATTTATTACTTACCAAACCTAAGCACTACATGCCTCTGTCTCCCCCTCCCCACCCCCATAAAGTATATACTAATTAGTTGTCCTTTTTTTTAAAGATTTTTTATTCACAGCTGTCTGACTACAGCATTTCTCAAATTATGTATTCATGACACAAGCCTAAAACTTCATGATCCACGGTGTTCAAAACCACCAAAATAAACCACACGAAATAAATCAAACCTTTAGTGAGAATGAGATTGATAGTACATATCTAAAGTCAAAATTCAGTCGACTACAATACCCACTGTTTTCAATGCCAGGTTCTGTGCTATGTCTTGACTGTCAGGGAGGCAAGAAGGGGCTGGAGCTTGACCCACCAACTGTCAAATGAAAGAGATGAAAACATCAACTCTTCAGTTCATTTTAAAAATAAATTTCAAACGTGGACGGCTCTCAAGAAATGCATACTTGTCAGTTAGCTATAAGCTATTGAACTATCCTCGCTATTTCTTTAAGTAATTTGAGTCAAAACTAATGACTTATTATCAAAGTCAGACCTACTACATCTTTCTTTAAGGTAGTTTCTTGATTTTAAGTTAGGGCATCATTTCTGAAACACTCCTCCCCATTATGGGAGGATTTTACAGTTACAACGGCAATTAATAAAAAACCCCAAACTCCACACTTTTTCTCCTTAAGATTTCTGAATATATGGCATTCTACTAGCAGACTTTCATAAGCCTTTGTTTATGACGGAAGGGTTTGTCAAAGGTAAAAATTTTGATGTTGATACGTCAAGGCAAAGTTTGCATGATGAAATTTTCAGTCAACTCTGCCTAATGATAAACCATATACTAATTATGAGTCATACAATGTTTGCGGTCTAAATTTGATTTAGAAACAGTTTCACAACTGCTTTTTGAAAAGCAGTACACATTTATCTTGGACTAATCTTATGTGTAGAAATTAGTCTTTAGGTTTTAACAACCAAGTCAAATATTACACTAAATTAGTATTTTTCAAAAATATGAAGAAGGAAATTTTCTCTTTCCCAATTCTAGCTTTATAAGAAACACTGATAATGCCGTCAATATGTTCATTGCTTAATCACAAAATTTACTGCAAACATTAAGTTCTCTCCTGAAAGGTACTGATTTATAAAAGCCCTCTAACAAACTATTGCAGCCTTAACAAAAGCTTAGTTTACAGTTTAATACCTGTAATAATAAAACAGGAGTTACAAAATAGGTAATGGAACCTAACTTGGAACTAGACAACAACTAACTCCTTATGATGACATCTTAAAAAGTATACAAAACTTCCAACTTCACCTAAAGAAATCAAAACATTAACTCTCACAGAAGTCATCTGCTGTTTGACAAACCTCAAACTGTTCAGCCTTAAAATGTAAATGAAACTGCAGCAAGTTGTAAGTAGGAAAAACACATCTTCTTGTCTTTTCAGTAAACTGCTCCAGTCAAAGTTTTTGACAGCCAAAATACATGTGAAGTGACAGGAAAAGTCAGTCAGTGTTGTTCAACATCACTTTAATGTCCACTGAAGAAAAATAACATAAACACATTAACACAAATGGAAAATGTTTCAGAAAAGACCATATGAACTATGACAGTTTAGTTCATAGAAATGCAATTAATAATTTTATAAAAATTATACAAAAGAACATCTTTCATTAGCATCAGACAGTATAGAAAAAATAAATCTCAACGTCAGTTGTACTTCGATGATCCTTCTAGTAAGAAATTTAAAAGTGCTTTTTAATAACAGTGTTGCAACTCAAGATCAGTGCAGTATGTCAAATCTGGTCTAAAGCAGGTATTTGTAGCAATTGTGCAATTTCTTACAATAAACAAACACCATCAATCTAAAAAGTAGCTCTAAGTGAGGTAAGTATTCTAATTAGAATTAAACATTCCCTTAAATAGCTTACACACCAATTCTACTACGAGGAAAATACTGGCTTTCCTTCACAAGAAGGTTGAAACCTAAACAACGACGTGAAGTTTGCACCACGTATCAGTGAATATTGGAAGTTAAAAAAAGCTATTGCAAAGTAGACAGTTTAGTACGTCGTGAACCCATGCTATGAACAGTACCAACTGCAACATACACCAACTGAAATAAAATCTATCTTTACAATTAAGAGTACCAAATTTGCTCTTGAATACGCTATTTTGTTCCCAAATCCTCCTAGAAGCTCCCATATAAAGTTAGCACATTAACTTAATGTAGAAATTTCCCTGTATTTTTATCTGTGAACATGAACAATTTGGTTACCAACTATGACTGCAGCTGAGTAGCATTATTCTTCGAGAAAAATACACCACTAACTGGGGAAAAATAACCCAAATTTACTCTTCAGTTTTATACATGACAAGCTGGCAATAATAAAAGATACCTAACATTTCCCACAAGAATTCTCAGAACTCTAGAATTAATCTTCTCTTTAGAGTAGTTCCTTTACTCTGTGATTCACAATGCATAGTAACTATTGCCTTTTATATGCAGGTCTCATTTTGAGAGAGGCAAATACTAGACTGTTAATGCTGAGACCATACAGCTCATTTGCATATGGAGCCAAAGGCATCTCAGATTTTAGTTCTCAAGGTGCTTATAAGCAACATTCAAGTCACTATCAACTACAGGAAGAAAACAAATTAATGAACTTTTGTTCTAACAGACTGTGGTCTAAAACCCTACCAACTAACTGTTTCTCATAGTATTGCACTTCACTTCAGTATTAAACTGGCAGTTGAAGCCTGCACAGAACTTGTTTTGTAACAGTATTTCAATAAAGAAGCAATAAATAAAATGCAGTATCCCAAAAATCCAAACACGCCAGTAGGTCCAGTCCATATCTCTCCTACCACAGTCCTAGCTGCATCATCTGAAATAAATCTGGGACAGTCTTTAGACATCAACTGCATAGTTCTTTCAACATCAGACTACCCATAACAATAAGAGAAGCAATTAAATCTTTCTCCAGTGATGTTATCAACTGAAAGGCAGTACCCTTGATTATGTGTCTCAATTAAAAAAGCATATTCTTATGCTTTTGCTCAAGACAGCTTCAGAAGTCAGACACAGTTATTCTGTGACTGCATATTATCTCTACTGTGTTATTTCACAGGCAAGTGAAGTCTTTTTAAAATATATTAACCCTGATAATGTCATGGAAACTTCCTGCTCCTAAATGAGGAACTATTAAAAGTTTATTTAACTTTTTTTTTAGAATTACAATTTAGTCACTTTAATTGCAGTGACACGTTGGTTAAGTCTTTATTAGAGCCTCTAATCATCTGTTCCACCATAGGGTTTTGTCACCTCTGCTGGTTGCTAGTCAATAAGCCCTAGGTTGTGCAAATTGAGGATGGAGTCGGCAATAATCCGTGCTGTCCTCTTCTGGTAGCCTCCAGATGTCACCATCAGGATTGGGATCCTGCGGCTTCTAGCAGCCTTGAACACAACTTCATCTCTCTTCACAATTCCCTGCAATTTCACAACAGTTACAAAAAAAATTAGTGATACAGAACTGATACTTGAGTTCTAGCTTATTGTTTATGGGTTTATAGTATTTGATGCTTGATAAGAGATTTATTATTTTACAATACAAATTGAAAAATTAAAGTTCCATTAGTAGGTTTACATGCATAATTAAAAAAAATAACCAAATTAAAAACCCTTGACTTGGTTTTAGAAGACACCATAAATCAAAGTCTTTATGACCCATTCCTGGAAGAATACCTGCTCAAAGGCCATAAAGTCTAAACCAACTACAAAGTTTAGAAGTGTTCACCCTGTTTTACAGGTGAGGACTTAAGACTAAGAAAGATGGTTGGAATTCAAAGTGCTTTAGTTTGTGCTCAACTTGCATAGCACCCTCGGACAAAAGTTTAACAAGTCGATCAAGATTTCGCAAACCTACAGAAGAACCAAAAATTCAAATCAGATTTTAGAGGTTTACAATCACTAGCAGTATTACAAGATTCCAGTTTATAATAATGATATTATGATATTAAAGTGAATAACTTTTAATAAATAGCTTTTAGCTATTAATACAGCTAATAACAATGATAATAAAAGTTAATACTAAAAGAATCTGTGGCTGAATGGGGAGTTACAGAAGTAATGGTAAATGCATAGAAAGGAAAATAAATTCTAAATAACCTCTTACCAGTAGAGAAGGCTATAGAACTAAAAAAATAATACACATTTCTGACCAAGAGTTGTTGTGTTGTCACTGAACCCATACAACAGCAGACTTTGAGTCCCTTGTGTTTCAAGTAAGTACATGTGTGGGAGTAAGAATTCAGAAACAAGTGAGAACAGAATTGCAATCTATTTTTGTAGAAAAAGCAAAAGCAATGAGCTCCAGAGATACTCAGGAGGCATAAATAATACATTACAACTCCTCAAAAAAAAAAAAAAAGACTAACATAATAGGCAACAGCTTGCAATGGACAGCTCAAAATTTTAATAACTGCAACAGTTGCAGAAAGGGATTAAAATACAATCAAATCCAGAAAATGAAGGACGCAGCAGCTAAAGTGTTACAACAAAATTAATATGCACTACTCAGACTGGTTAGAGGAAAACTATAAATACAACAAGAAATACTACACTGCCATTGAAAAAGAATGAGACCACAAACAAGTGGTAAAGCAAAAGAACAGAATTCAAATGTAGCTGAAAAAACAGTCTGGAAAACAATACAACGGTAATGGGTTTTATATAGTTTGACACGGCCTTGTAAAAGAACAACGGGAATAAAGAATAACAACTGAAAAATAAGACAAAGGAAACTGAACAATTATATTGGGAACAGATCCTTAAAGGAAGCAGTGAAATTAGAGAACAAGCTGTCCATCCCTTAGGAAGCTGCAGCAGACATTATACCACACAAGCACTGGACACCACCGCTACCACGGGAGCCTAACCCCTCATGCCTGCTCCAGCACCTCTAGAGGCTGAGTCTGGAAGAACTAGGAGGGAAACAGAGGGACTTGTTCCAGCATTTGTGTGTTGCCAAGAAGGAAAATGCATCTGATGAAAATGACAGCCTGACAGAGATCCCACTTACAAACAAGGGGAAGGAGGATTGACCTGCTACACCTCAAGTTTTCTGGTTATAGCCTCAAGCACTGAGAAACTATCACTCAGAACACACTAGGGAGGCATAATTTTGAATAGAATTAACACTGTAAAAAGATTTTGAAATATGAATGACACCTACAAATGTTGGACTGAAGACAGTACTAATGAACCTCAAAGAGATAAATTATCCAGGTTCAATGTCCTCAGTTTCAGTATTTCCAGTAGCCTGGGACTTCCAGCGTGATGAAAGATGTCGTTCACAGCTAAGCCAACAAGTTCAGAGGGACATGAAACCCTGCCCTCTATTCCAAAAACAAAGGCTTGAGCTATAGAAACATTTTCTCCATCAGGCACTTGAGCCACTGGCTGTGCAGAGAAATGGCACCCTGCCTTTCAGCCTCTACTTGTGACCATAAGAATGATTCACCTTTCTTTCCCCATCGCTGTATTTTGTCTCTTTCCCTACAAAGCACCCAACATGCTACAGCAACTCATTTTTCTTGGCAATTAAGATTTTCTGAAATGTCAGAAAAATGTTTGAAAAGGCACATCTTAAAATATTCTCCATCATTAATTTCCATTTCTCTTGGTGGCCACTGCTTTCCAAAAAGCTCTCTGCTCCAAATGAGATCTTTCACCTCAGGCCACATCCTCTCCAAGATCAAACAAGTCCAAGCCCATCTCAAGCTCTTCCTTTCTCCTTAGAAACTTCTACACATCCAAAGAAACAAAACCTGGTGATGCAGAGCAGCTCCCCAAGTAGTTCTACCTTGGGTCAATCAAGGACTTTGCAAGGCAGTCAGCAATGAAAAGGCTGCTCAGTGACAGAGAGGGTAAGAATGTGCAAATACATAAAGGAAGGTAATAAAAACCAGCAGGGAACTAGAGCTGCATCCAAGAGGACCAAAGTACTGTAAATCAGAATGAAAACCAAACAGATTGAGTGGGGACTCAATGAGAAGGGAATCCTAGACCTTACAAATCAAGAAAGTACTTTTCTATATTGATCTGGTGGACACTATAAGAAAACCAAATGTAAAAACAAGACAGAGGCAGAACTGAGGAGCTGTCAGAGAAAGAATCATTTAAAAAATGGGCAAAATATAAGCTCTGTAAATATTTTGTGAAAAGGAGACCTATTGTGTCTTCTTCTATGAAGCTTTACAGAATAAAAATTTTAAGCTGGTAGCAAACGGAGTAGAAAAGGTAAACTGAACTGAAAAAGGCTAATCCTATCTGTCTGGAAAAGAAAAAGGGGAAAAAGAAGTCAGTGCATTTGCTTACAATGCAGACAAGCTACAGAAAATTGCTGGAAGAACTGGAAGTTACCAGAGGAGCAGTTCAGAAAAGGTGGGAATGCTATAGAGGAAATTAGGTGTAAGATACACACGGGGGCAGGTGCCACAAGAAACATTGCAAAATGGGTTCTGTTAGGGGAAACAAAACAAAGAAAGAAAGAATCAAACAGGAGAAATAGAAGCAGGGTGAAGTGTGAAAAAATATGCCTCTCTGGTGACTGTCAGGATGTTCAAAACCAGAATATTTGAGAGAGAAGTTGAATGATACTGGAACAGGCACCCAAAACTTAAGAATCAGGAAGAGACAACAAAAAACCCCACATGGTCAAAGAGCAATGGAGATGTATCTGTATGTACCTACAACAGAAAAATGCTATGGCGTAAGGCGAAGTCCACATCCAACCTTCGTCTAACAATTGACCACAGGTAACTCTCAGGCAGCCCTTCCGTACCTAGTGAGGAGTCAAAGTCTGGAGGTATTTTGAGTATTACACAAACCTGAGGAGAAACAGCAAGTCCTCCCAACGGATCACCATCCAGAACATCAGTCCCAGCATTATAAACAATGATGTCAGGCTTTAATTCATTTAATGCTCCTTCCACATGAGTATGCACCTTCTGTAGATATTCTGTATCCTCTGTCCCCCACTCCAATTCCACTTTTCGTTTTATGGCACCTAAAAAAAAAAATTAAAAAGAAATGTTTTTATGTTACTTAATGAGCAAAGCATTGCTTTGAAAGAAAATGCAAGAGTTAAGCCAGACAAAAATATGACATTTCTGGAAATGTTACAAATACAGTCCATTTTCACAGAACCTTGAATTAAAAATAAAATATTCAGCTACTTGTTTTCCCAGCAAATGTAAGCACAATGACCTTGAAAAAAAATCCATTGAAGACAGAAAATGAGATGCAAGGCGAAAAAAAAAATAAAAATCTGAGGCAAGTTAAAAATGTTATTGAAAAGCAGCTTATCAACATGTCCATTTACTAATCAGCAAAGAAATCATAAAGAAAAGTATTAACTTAAAAGTAACCTAAATAAAGCACAAGGGAAAGAAAACACTGAATTGCTATTACAGAGGAAACAGTTGGGGGAAAAAACAAGATAAATATCACTGAGAAATTATTAAGATGTTTTATTTTTATCACAACACTCAAAACTTAACAGCAAGGGATCATGAATTTATGTGAATTGCTTTATGAATGTATAACAAGATTCAGCTTCACCCCAAGCATTTTCAATTTCATGTTCTTACCCTGTAATCCTACCACAAGAGCAAATATCTATTCTTAATTTAAATCAAATTATTTCTAATGCTTCTAATAAAGCATCAGAAGTAGGAGAGGAGGGTTGAAAAGGTAAAGGAAGGAAACCCAAGATTACGCAGCCTAGTTTTGAGTGCTTTTACAGAGTTATGTGTAGGTCCAAATCTGAATTAATCAAATGCACATCAAGAGTTGTTTCAAAATACGACTTCCACCTCACCAATCCTTATCCCTTCAATTAAACAACTTGGAGTCTTAAATCTTAAGCATGGAGTCAGCACCCACTAAGTGTTCACAGAATCACAGAATGTTAG